GTTTTTTAGAGTTACCCCTCCCCCGATAAAGATTATGTATATAGTATTTCAAAGTGCATTAACTCCAAACATTTGCAAAAAAGTTTAGAATCTTTCACTCAAAGGCCTATAATTAATATTTTCAACTGACAAGTTTTATACTATATTAAGGGACGCCGGATAGACAAACATCAAACAATTTGGGTTCATAAACTGTTTCCTTGATCTTCACAAGGCATTATACCCAATTTAATAAAATCATCTACCTAATACGACGACTTTTGTGGTTTCCCTATTTTCTAACTATATATTCTTTATATTATGGACGGAATCACGCGCTCAAATCATAATTTATTGGTTCAGACGGACAACGCCAAACTTATATGGCGAAGAATAAAAATACATATACAGTGGTTTGCTTTGTGCCCTTTCCTGTTTTTTGGGGGTCCTCCTGGACTCCTTGTCACTGGCTCTTGTGACTGGGTCGGGTGGGAGACTGCGTTCATTGAACGCCGCCTTTCTTTTGTGATCTTGTTTATTATATTTCGTACCCTATTATATCTAATTATACAAGGCGATTCTTAGAAGAACTATTTTTGGGTTGCATTTCATCATATCTTCTATATAGAGAAATATTTCTGCCAACAGTTTAACATCTTATTGACTAATTTGTATCAATAAAATAAATTGTTTAAATCTTGGCAGCAATACAGCCGGTACTAGATGAGGAGAGTAAAGCTCCTGGCACAAGTAACCCGAATCTGCAATTCCATACATTATTGTTGCTTTTGTGATTTCCTCTTCCAAATTTTTATTGGTTTTCATATATTCGCTTCTTGTAAACGTACTTTGGGTGTGATAATAAAACATATATTACTTCAAAGATAACTAACGTTTTAATGTTAGCAGTGAATTCATTTAATATCTAGGTAACATAATAAACATACAATATGCTGAAAGGTGGTGCTTCTCCAATGAGTATATACAATTTGTTCATAGCTATTTAGCAGTGACATGACATTTCAGTATGAATTACAAAACATGTTTATTTCCTTTGGTTCTATCTACTAACAGTCGTTTTCTTTTATGCAATAATGAACACATAACGACTGAAATGTTACGTAAAATGAGTTAAAAGAAGTTTTAAAATTCTTCATAAAAATGGCCATTAGTAGTCTTTGTTAGATCAGACAAGATAATCATGAAAAGTATACAAGTATCATTTGAAAGTAAGTTATTGTGACGCTTGATTAAAATGATGAATTATAGATTTTCAAAAAATAGGTTTCAAAGAATACGATTGAGTTTAGGAATCAAGAGCGCGTAATGTAATGACACTTTTTATTATCGAAGCATGTAATTTCTGTGTTTCAACCTGCTTCTGTGATTCTGGCATGTTACTTCTCGCCCATGAAATATATGTTGAAGCTAATCGTTTTTGGGAGAAAATATTACCTATGATATCCTTAACACTACCTATACCACGAAATATGTAACCTTTTCCTTTTTAATAAAATTATAGTGAAGAAAATTTAAAGAAAATAAAAGTAAATATTGAATGAATCACAAAAACAGTTCTTTTTTGTGTGTATGTTATATTCACACAAAAAATAATGTCCTGTTTATAACAACTAATTCTGAATAGTTTGTCATTATATGGACAACCACATGTGACAGTTACTAAATATATAAGGTTAAAATGCGTTTATTTTGGCCTAACTTCTGAAAATATGTATTCAACTTGTTAATCTGAACACTTGCATCTATCTAAATTAAAATAACTTGTTTTATTTATTTATTTTTTGTTTTTTATTTTTGTTTTTTGTTTTTGGTTGTTGTTCAAATTTTTTGCTGCCTTTACGTCATTAAGTTGGACATATTGATTACTATCAAAACTTACATGTGATACTTATTCCACTGATAAAGTTCAATTGAAAAAATGTACCTCATTGAACGTAGATCAAACACATTTTACACTTGATATCTTTAAGTCATTTGTTGTAACTGAAAATTTAAAACAAACGGCAACTGCTAATTGTCAATTAAATATTTTTTTCAGAGAGAGTCACGTTCGCGAGTATTGCTTACGAATATTTTTGTGGGCATCTATTGACCCCCGTTTCTCAAAAGCAAGTGTCAATATATTGTGTCGCAGCTGTCATTTTAAATTTCTGGCTATGATGCAAAACTTTTTTAAATGTATTTACATTTTCTTCTCCGTATACAAGTAATGGACTGTACAACTGTATGTAGTTTACCGATATTTAATATTATAGTGGAACCGGCTAAAATTTAATTATGCATTAACACGCTGTCTCCACCTTCCTCCTAAAGGGGACCTGCTCCGCATTTACACATAACGCATAGGTGTAAGAGCTTTTGCATGGTACTGTCATAAAACATATGATTTTTTCAATCTATAAAAACGCTGTCTCCACCTTCCTTCTAAAGGAGAACTGCTCCGCATTTACACAAAAAAACGCATAGGTGTAAGAGCTTTTGTATGGTACTGTCATAAAACATATGATTTTTTCATTTGATGACTTTAAGATGCTAAAAACAAGTTCGTTTAACTTATAAAACCGCCTTTTACATAGTAAAACGTGGTCACACGTACGTTGTATATTTCAGTTAGATTTGGTCTTTAACGTCTTTAATCGGGATATAATCAATGCTTAAGGCATTTTGATAAACCATTACGAGCATCACTGTCTATATATAAATAAGACACATGGTGTCAGATTCCTGGCACATTTCGACATTCACTGAAGCGTGCCGGTCCTGTCACAGTACAAAACGATTCCTACAACTACGAATGTAATGTTATTTCATGTCATTACGCTTCACTATTAATTTCAAGTTACTACGCAGATCTAAACAGACATTCGTCTAGATTGTATTTTAAGGTATGCAGTGCACCACAGTTGGCCATTTCACGCGTGCGTAAAACTTTGCTCGTGATCAATATTTAATCAATATTTATAATAAGCATTCCAGACTTATACCATTATCTAATGATTCAAACCGCTCATTACTCAATTGACCTCGGCAAGGCTTGGTCTTAAAACATGAAATATTGTCCCGGCGCTTAAGAATACTAGTGAACTTTAGATTTTTATGTGTTTCATGTGTTTAAATACTTTATTTATCAATCAAAATACATAGTTATGCATTTCAGCATTCACTTCAAGCTTTATTGTCTATTCAAGATGGTTGATGTCATGGTATCAGACAAAACAAACACATTTCTTTTTGCTCTTCTAGGTCATTAACTCAAAGCCGGTGGTAATGTAGGTAGTTTTACTCCGGATCACAGCAATAAGCTACATTGAATTTACCAGAGCAAAGTTAAGCCACTGCATCGTTCCTCGTTGGTTGTCAAGCAGTTAATCAGTACTTATTGACTTAACATTTGCAAGGAACTGATTACTTCAGTTTATGTAAAAGCGAATGTCCTTGGAAAATATTGATTTCATGATAAATCACAACGAAAATGACCTTCAAGTTTCAAGATTATTGAATATACATGTATATCCCAGTTTGCATATTTACAATACAAATACATGTCTGAAATAAATACATTTGTAATAATAAATGATAATAAACAGTCACGAAAACATGTGAGGGTAACACTGTATGTATATATAGATGTAAAAATAATTTTGCGTATCAATGACGACCTAAAATAATACAAGAAAAACAAATTCTATTAAAATGTGTAGCTTGTGTTGTCTTGGACTTGGCCTAAGTACATAAACTATTACTTTGGTCTTTAATACATTTTTGTCGATTATCTTATTGATGTGAATTTTGATTGGCCATTTTTTTTGGGTTGTCAGTGACACGCGTTTTGTGTTAATATCAATGTTAATGAGTCAGACAAATTATTTCATATTTTCTGCCATAAAATTGCAAGAAAACAATGCAGAATAAACGCATATTCGCACATGGTCTTGACTTGTTTGGTTTTAGGAAAGTTGTGTTAGAACTTATTTTATTATTTATTTCTTATAAATGAATTATGTAATTGGAGAAAATTCTTAGTTGAAAAAATAATATAAAATAATTCACATTATATATTTGCATGGATTTTATCAGACCTTTCCGTCAACAATTAATGGAGAGTGGCTATCCTTTTTCACAAACAGCGTTTAATTTTACCTGAGTTATGATTATATGTGTGTTTCAAATTAAAGTTCACTTATTGTCTCCTGTACCGTCCGGGAATCGAACAGTGTTGCCCGATTCACAGTCCTACGCTCTACCTACTGTGTTAACCGGACGACTCGATACTATTGACTTCATTCGATATTAAATATTGTATGTTTCCTATTATAGCACACGATTTGCTGAATTTGTATTATACCAATGATATTCGTTTGAAGCTTACAATTTACTTTGCAGTTTGTTTACTCTTTGAAGAATAGTAAACGATTTTTTTGATAATTGTTTTAACTTTGCAAATGACTAAATAATGTAAATAATTTGAAATAAAAGTATCGGTATGCTTGATTTTGATTTAATTGCTACTGGAAGTGACTAAAGGGTAAAACATTGAATTTCTGGGACAAAAATCATTTTGATTATTTTCTAGCATGATTCTCTTTAATCATGCAAAGTGTGAGAAAATTTTAACGCCTGGTTTATTTGTTTCTTCTTTGCTTGTGTAATGTTATTACTTAAATGTACAATAAGAGGCCTAATACCTTAAAATATTTTTCTTAATTCTTGTCTAAAAAAGATTAAACAGAGAAAAACAACATTAACAATAAAATACGCTTGAAAAAAAGTTTTGTGCAAGGAAATTATCTCTGAGTCTACATTAATTGATTTTATTTCACTTTCTTATAATGTCTCGTTTAACAAATTGAATAAACAATCAACATAAATGTTTCCCTAACTGTTTATAAATACATGAATATGACAAAATGACAATGTTAATAATTTAACTTATTTCCGGATGTACCGGCGTTTTTCATCCCGACAAGGAACAGCGGTTTCCAAACTCGAAAATTATGATGTTATTTTCTAAACTCAAAGCTAGTGAATCCTGCAACAGCAGTATTTGCACGTGCAACGATGATAACTTTTCTACGTTGCCTAACTAGCGTCCTCTCAACTCCATATTTGGCGTTTTTTACTTCTTTGTCGTTTACAAGGACCTATATAAATGAATATAATTGATTAATTTGACACTCTAAAATAAGGTTAAAGGTCATTTGCTGTCACTTTCATCTGCTAGTCTTAAAATCTGATCGTCTAAAAGCACTAAAAATATTATTGTTAGCAAAATCACAATGAAAGTATCGGTACTGCTCGTGTGTAACTGTTACAGACCCCGGTATCACAAAGCTGTAAAAGTTGCCAACCGGAATACGAGTAGATTTATCTCTCTGTAAAATTTTGTCAAAATAACGTTACATATATGGCAATGTTTTTTTCAACGTCAGAATCGAAATTTTCTTGCAGATGAAATCCTTGCTATCAATGTATAATAATATAGTTTAACAATTACTTTACCGGAGCAACCAACATATTCGTTCTTTAGCAAAGACGATACCTAGCTCTCAAATTTGCTATATTTAACATTTGAATCAATTTTTGGTGAATGAAATTAATTCATTTAAAATAAGGGCAACACTAAATATTTTATATCCAAAGTGTAAAAGTCACTTCATTAAAAAAATAACAAACAAACGAACACTTTCATGTGATGCATTATAGTGATGTTTGATTAAAATGTAAATAATTTAAATTGAATTGACTGACCGATTTGTATGCCCCCACCCTGCATGTCCCTATTTGAGTAACCGATTTTACACTCACCCTAAAATAATATGAATAATAAATCGGCATTAAGAATTGTGCAATAGGAAAAGAAAGACCCGGAAAAATGCGCCAGGGTTTTTGATGATGATGCCTCTGAAAAACAGTTAAGAGTTGAGAACAGAAGTGAATTTTTCTTAAAAAGAAACAACCAATGGCAATATTTCCGCTTAATAATTTGATCACTAAAATGTATGAAAATATATATAAAATATGCGCAAGAACACTTGCTGACAAAGCGTCTGTACGAGTTTGGTCACAATCCTTTGAGACATGTATAAGCTGCTCACAGAAGGAATAATTTAAGACTGCCCGACGCAATATCCCAATCTTTAAACTTTCCTTCGGATAATCTGTTTTAAAAAGGTCTTTTGCCCGGTATATTTTTAACTGCAATAGCGTAATTTGAAACAACTGCTGGAATATCTTAAAATGGTATTGAAGCAGTCCAAGAATGAGACAGTGAGATGGTACATTGAAATAAATAACCAAAATATCCTAAATTGGATAACCTGACCGAAAGGCGGAAATAGCATATTTTTATGTACGATTCAATATCCCAACATTATAATAGGGTGTCCTGCCACTTCTGGCATTACACAAGTTAACTCGAGATATAAACATATCGATAATTATTTGTTCCCTTCGCAATGAGAAAAATGAAATTTAACATTACTTAGCAGAAACCAAACATTCATCTTCTTATCGCCTTTTTTTACAGGGCCTTAAGAAAGTCCATGTACCCCTTTTTCAATGAGACCAAATAATGCATGCAAGCTTTAGTCACGAAACAAAATTTATTTCAATCAATGATTACCACCTGTTATTAATACATTGCCAATAAATAAATATATGAATGATAAAGGATAAGACTTTTTGGCAGTATTTGAGATATTTTTTAATGATAACGTTTTTATACAGTTTTGAATGAAATATTTTTCATAGAAACAAGCTGCCATTTAATTAATAGTGAAAGTAGTGAGTGTTAAATTCGAAGAAATTAAGAAAAAAATGAAAATGTTTGGATATGATACACAGATTCGAAATAGCATTAAAATCGAATTGTAATATTATTATAGAAGAGACAATGAAAAAGGAAGTAATGATTACTTTTGTGGGTGCTACATTTGATTGTGACGGGGACAGTTTTCTGTTTCTGAATAAATGATGGTTAACAGACCTACATTCTATTCGGAGTCGTTTATATTGTTTCTGTTGCAAGAACCTTACACGAAAGAGAAATTATCATAAACAAATAAAAAAACGGTCACGTTTGACTTTCTTTCGTATCCACGAAATTGTTCGCATGTATATGTATATAATAAGCATTTAAATGAAAACAGCTTTAAATTTGCATGTCGAAATGTTTGAAAATAAAATATTGTTTTCACTCAAAATTGGCTTGTGTTATTATTATAATTAGTTGCAATTTATTGTAATCAAATTAATTAAGAACGATAAATACACTTATTTGCAGTAAAATTTATCGTCTACCGGAGAAAATATAAAGTAATATTGTGAATTTTCATGTTCTCAATGGAATCGGCTTACCTTTATTTGTGTGTCTTTAATAACGAGTGAAATCTTGCATTCAACCAATGGACACATGGCTTGCCATTCGAAAGGGAGGATTTCAAAGTCATTCTTTGAAGGGTGTCCGAAGATCAATTGCGATTTTCTCTCTTTCACGCTTAAGAATAAAATAAATACTATTTTTTAATACAGAATAAAATACGTAAATCTCACTGTCCTTATGTGAAGTTCGAAGATGTTGCCAAATTATATCCCGTACACAAACAAATATATGAATCATGAGTTAACCATTTTATGTTTATATTGAGAAGCTGTTAATGAGGTAGATAAAGACATAAGAAACGCACAGCAACCATTTTAAGATGAATCAAATAAAGTGACACTTACACTAGAAGCCTTAAAATAAAATAAAGATAAAGTCATCTGTATAAGTTTTATAGAGATTTTTTTTCATTTTATGTACGTTACAATTATCATTTTCAAGGCATGTTCATAATGAACTTATAGATAGAGTATAAAATAAAATATATTAAGATGCATTATAAAAAGCGTGTATGTGTGACGAATAACTAGCAAATAAGAAACCCATACCAGTGTATGTTTGCGTTTTATCAACCACATTTTACTTAAAATAAAATAAGAATATTACCCAACTGCGATTGGATTATCATCAATTCTCCTATTGTCGTTGGTTAACCAGAAAAAGCTTAAAACAAGATAAAACAAAAATAGTAAAACACGATTTTATTAATATAATTGTATAAATAACAATGTGTTGAAATTCAATTTATTTACGATCGAAAACAAAAGCTTTTTCATTTTAAATTACTTTCCTTATTTTAACTGAAATTATCAATATAAAAGCATAGTAACTTTCATCCATCAAAATGAACCATTGAATGTCACTTTAATCAAAGAGATAATATTTAAAAGATATAACTCGAATTTTAAACGTATAAAACTACAACCAGCCCTAATTAAGTGATTGTCCCTATTAGTCTTGAAAATCTTAGAGATTCTACGTGCATAGGTAAATTAATAGCGTAATGTATTAAGATAGTGTTTGTGTGAAACTCGTACAAATACAGCAATATAATGACGACTTTTCAAAATAAAGACACCATTTGCCGACCAATGAAATTACTTGAATTTACAAAAAAATGCTCCTTTTAATCGCATAGACAGGCAAAATTTGTTAGTTAGTCATTAAGTCGAGCACATGAATATAGTAGCACCGTCTTATTTTGACAAAATATTGGTTAAACTACGTTCAACATTTCGTCAATACGTTGGGTGGGCTCGTTTTGTTTATAATCTTAGACAGACATTTTGGTCTTTTGATTAGCTAACAGTGTGAGTAATGTAATTTCGTTATGCAAAAGATTCCATTTTGTATCGCAAATAAAAACATCCTTTATACCCATTGTAATTTTTATGCACATATCATTTTAATCATACAAAGTCTTACTATTCTGAAGGTGGCTTTCGAACAAAACTGAAGTCCAGCCTAGACCACATTGTGAGGGGTAAGTTTAGAAGATTTAACTCATCATCACTGGGATCACTGGGATTCATTAGATCAGTTGAAATCTTTAAAAAAACAAAAATCCAAAAGGGATATCTACCCAAACAAACAAAGTTAAAATGATTACTTTAAACTTACATATATTTTGAAAGCAATTATCAAAACTACAATTTGTAATAAACGTATTTATTCTGAATCAAAGTGTTTAAATTTTAAATAATTATTGTAAATGACATAAATGTGGTACACATTATAGGGTTAATGTACATTTATTCGTGCGTTAAAGAACATTCAAAGGTGCATTTACGCTCTATTCTTGCATAAAAGGAAAGCATATGTTCAGATCTGTTATTTGCTTCGTATTTTGTTGATATTTGTATGAAGAAACCACTGCTTGTTCAATGCTTTCCATGTGCCAGTGTGACATAATTCAAATGACTGCAAAATTGCTTCCGAAATAGTTACTTGATAAAAAAAACGGAACGCGAAATTATTGAATTGAATAGTATATTTTCATGCAATAATAGCGAAAATGCACCATCTGAAAATGAAATTTTTAATTCCCCTTCCCTGTGGAATCGGACATTATATGCGTCCTCGTGCATATCTGACCATATCAATAAAGTTTAAAAAGGTGCCCGTTATTGTTTGTCCTTTCTTTTGTTTAAGTAAACCTATATGCTGATTTTTAATGCAATAACTAATGTTATTGTACATGATTTTAAAGATTTGATTTTTTTCCATGTATCGTGAAACAATTATAAAGATCTCATCTTAAGATAGTACTTGTCATTTCTGCACATACATCTGAAGAGATATTACAATCATTTCCAAGAACTTGAGTGAGGACATAAATAAAATATTTACCCATGGTTGAAACTCTATTTTAAAATACACCTTTTCTATGTATTCATATCCTGGTTCAACAGTCGTATATTCATCTGTCAATTTCTTGCATTTTCCTGTCTGATTAAATATTCGTGCACCAGCAACATTGTTCTAAAGGTCAAAAGATAATTTATACAATATCAATTATATTATATATTTTATCTTAGTAGCGGTGTGGCCGAGTGGTTAACGCGTCGAACTGGAAAATCCGACAGACAAGTAAAACTTAAATGAAACTAGTAATCTAAAGATAACTGGCCGTTTTGGGTTCAGACCCGATCAGGGCAAAACCGTTGTCTCCCTGGGTAAAGAACTTTACACCCATTTCTTTTTAGTTCTACTGGTTGGTGCATGGAACTGATCTAAAAGTATAAACAGCCTACAGCTTCTTACACAATCGAACAACATGTTCAGTAAATCCTTATAAAATAAACAATGAGTACATAAAGAAATGGAAGTAATGTTTGTATAACAATGATATAATTATTTATTGTAGGTTAGAAAAAAACTGTTTTGTAAACATTGAAATCAAATTATAAGTATACTTATATTGATGTCTAAAGTAGGACAGTATTGATTTAGGTGTCCCTATTACTTGTTTTTACGTTTGACTTTACAAAAGTTGTAATTACATGCTATAATAATCAGACATGAAATATTGCAAATTTAAATAAAGAATAATGGATAATATAAAACCAACAAATGATTCATCTTTAATTATATTGTGTGCAAATTGTATGCAAACATTTATGTTGAAAAAGAAAAAAAAGAAAACACGGTTAAAACTTTGTTAGCCGGCATTGGTTTCATAAACAAAAACAATTGTAAAACAAATGGTAGATCTTGAAGTGATTCATAACATCATCAACAACATAAATTGAGTGTAAGTTGGGGGACTGAACCAAAATTAAATTCCTCTTACAAATAGAATATGAAAAAAACACTGAAAATCCGAAAGAAATCGTAAGTAACTTTCCATTAAGTAAAAATAATTTTGTTACAATTGACAGAATAATCGAAAGGTTTATTAATCTTGAAAATAAAAAGATTGTTATATGGATGTGTTCCTAAACAAATCGTCATGTTTCGGTTAATAAGCACAATTTCCAACACCAACAGCTACACAGTCAGTAGACAATTAAGATTAATAGTACTTTGATTTATATGCAAAACTATATACAAATAATTAACTTTATATCCATTGGACATAACATAAGGAAATTGAGGGTACCTGATAAGTTCGTAATTTTGGTGTAATTTTGATATTTCATGTACATGAGTAAACTATCAGGATTGTGGATCTTGGTAAGTTATTGTGTAAGTTCCTTAGTAAATAAATTGTTTACTAGAAAATACAATGAGGTTTTAACACAGTGTACATTGGTATGTGGGAGGAAGTATGGTTAAACAGAACTTAAATATTTGCGCAGTTTAACTAGAAAGTTAAAGAGCTATCTTTACTACATTTTATTATAGAACTATTCTTTACATTTTATTTTATACTGGCAAGAACTATCCTTTACATTTCAATTTAGAACTGGCAAAGTATATATAATTTACATTTTATTTTATAATTGTCAATGAGATTTCCAGATTTCAGTTTGTGATTTCAAAATGACCAATAAAATTATTTTTATATTAAGTTATTCCTTGTACATTTTGCAGGAAGCTAATTTTAGACGGCATTCAGCAAAAAAAAGATATCTTGCCAGATTTATTGCTACATTTTACGGAAAGCACTTGAAGCATTCCTTAACTAAAGAAAGCCACAATGTTAATCTTAGTGTATATAAAACGTTTTACCTTTTAAGGCAATTAATTATTTATAAACAATTAAAATCCTTAAAACTTTGCCAGCCTAATGAATTTTGATAATTGACTTATTCTGTTGGAAATTCTATTCTGTCATTTTAAACATTACAAATATACAGGTTGGATTAAAACAAAAAAAATTATTTCACATTATTGATATGCTGTCTTCTGTTCTGATCACAGCATGATACATTACAATGTTTCAGTTTTGTGATACGCGATATTTGTTATTGAGAGTAAAGATCCCATATCAAATCTTTATTGTAATTGAAATAACAAAGTTCTGTTTAAAAGGTAGTGTGATATCAAGAGGTTATTAAACATTGTTGGGAACAATAATGATTCCACTGGGCTCGCACACATTTTCAAAACCTATATCAGACTTGACTTTTGCATCGTCGATTAGAGGTTTGACAGCTCTGAACTCATCCAATAGAATTCAATATTGTACTTATCAACTTATAATAACTTTATAATATTACACAATACTATATCTAAAGGTCAAACTGGAGATAACAGTATGTTTTAACACCTTTTATGTAGTGCTTGATATACAATTTTTTTTCGACATAACTCTTCATAAATACAAACAATTTACTTTTGTGTTTGAACATTTTATGATGTACCACTATAGCCAAATGTTTATTGAAATAAACTTTCTATATTTACTCCAACGAGGGAAAAAATTCCAAATTTGTAAATTGTCAATACTCTTTAATCTTTTAATGTGTTTAAATTGGACAACTAATAAGTCATGATTTTACCCTTACAAAGCTAAATATCTTATCTTTAAATCTGTATAAAGTAAATTATCACTTTCATTGGACATTTAAAAATATGTAGTGACAATATATATATCACGATGTGCCGTGGTCGCATCTGTATAATCAGTTGTTGACAGAAGGCTAAGACTAAATGAATGTAAAAACAAGATCTGTTGTTAAAAACTGACAAATGTCCCCAATCAGAGTCCAGAACGGGAACCATGACCGTTCATTTACAACAAGCAATGGTTATTTTAAAACCACTGTCATAGGAATATGGAAACATTAACTGTCATAAATACTTTCTCATATGCTCAGTGTGTCAAATTGTTTTTGAACAACATTCATGAATCAATAAAAAATGATATGACCAGACACAATTACCAAAGTATTAGTATAACCTTCTCCATTCTAGCTGTAAAACGGACTTTTAAATGTGACTTATTGTCCTTATGTCCCACATAAGTATGCCTAAATATTTCAAAATTAATTCATGAATGACAGAATGCCTAGATACAACTATGAATGTACTTGTATGAAACTAAACATAAAAGATGATAGCTTGACCTTGATTTTAAACCAGTTTTAAAGTACAAACTATAAGGAGAAGAATTTCATATGACATGTTGTCTTTCCTTCTAATACTGTTTTGTTTTAAGAATATTCAAATTGCTCTGTGTATACTGTTAAATGTAACATGTATATATATATTCTTAGAAATTAAATATTTTAAACTTAAGCTACAAACTTACTTATCACAAATTATTTTGAAGTATCAAATATTGACCCTGACTATCAATGCAATTATGTTATGACGTTTGATATTCAAGAATGAACTTGACCTTTTGACTGTTTAACTACATTCTGTTCCCTGTAAGTTATATTAATAAGCAGCATATTTTTTATTTCAAAGTCCATCCATAAACAACAAAGCTATGCACAAAGATGACCATTTATTAACAATCATAACTTTTAAAATCCATGTTTGACCTTGACCTTTGAATAGGTGACCTGACTCCTATACATGTCACGTACTCATCATGTTTATACAATTATGCCAAGTAATTTTGAAATAATTCCAGGAAGGACAGAATTATTGACCGGACACGTTCTCTGATGAACTTATAATAAATTCATGTAATAACTTTGTAATACCAGTTTGACCTTTGAATTTGATAGACGAAACTAACTTAATTGTATTTTTTTTTAAAATAACACCTGTGTTAAAAACATATTAATTTAAATAAACTGGCTACATAGAAATCACTTCAAATATTTGGAAGAAATACATATACAAATAAATAAATAAATATAAGAAAAAGATAATGAAATACAAACTCCCCTAGAAACATAGATTGCTTTTATGTGAATAATGCAGTTATTTTTTATTGAAAAAGCCGAGATGTTTTATTATAATTTAATGTAATACTTACAATGTGTAGAATTTCCATTGCACATTTACATATGTCCGGGTGGTTACGAGGTACTTGAAAAATGGCCGTCTGAATTTTAATACCATTTGCAAAGATAATGTTGTATAATATTATGTAAACAAACAGCAAAATGAGATTAACATCCATTACTCGAGCGAGATCTTAAAGCAGAATGAATTCTCTCTCCGATCCTATTTGCAATGCATTCAAAGAAAGAGACATGAGACATGTGTATTATTATGACATCATACATGTTGACACGCCTTTTTTACCAGACAAAGCTCAAGACATTGGCTACAGCCTTAGGAATTGTTTATTCATGATTTGCTGTGATGTCTTCGACATGTTTATGTATACAGTTATGTAAAAGATACAACTTAGATAAAAGATACGACGGAAAAGTCGATCAAACTTGCTTTGATTTCTAAATAATGTGAACATCGAAACTTATATGTATCGATCATATTGAAGCATAAAAATCAATTTTAAATAGTTTATTCATTAAGCGATATAAATATATTGCTTGAATCCTTTTATACATATCTTTCGGGAGTAAATTATGATATTTTTCTAAATTGTTGTTCATTTATACTGAGCACGAGAAAACAACAATTTCCCGCTAATACGCTATATGTGTATGTAAAACATAAGCAGACGACAGTTTGCCGACTTTGACACGGAATTAATTACATTGATCTTTAAAATGTCTTCAATTATACTGGTGTTTTTTTTTTCAATAGATCAACAATTGGTTGATAAAGCCTCAAAATCAATGTATATTGTATCAGTTAAAATATATCGAAACAAAATAAAATATTTTATATATGTAATATTTCGGGGATCATGAAATCGAAAGTAATTGTAAGATTCACCTTAAATTCTGTAAGAATTTTTTATGTGAAAATGTATACGTCTAACACTGCAGTGTATGATGAAGTAGAATGTTATTCTTTATGTATTTAAAGATACATGAAAATCCATTAATTTAAATAATAAATATAAATGATAGAACTTTAGAAACTGTGTAAGATAAGTCATGATTGTGGTAATGGAAATAAATGAGTCTCTAATGTTATAAAATGTTGTGCAAAATTGGTGATAG